CTCTTGGACTACTTTTTTTATATAAAATTTTGACTTTTATCCGAAAAACGACTTTGGTCAGCGTTTACATAGAAATAATTAATAATTATGTGAAATAACCAAAATGAAAAACAATAGGAAACGCTTCCCCTTTTCTACGAGCCAATGAAATGGCGGATTGAGGTGGAGCTTGTGCGAGAGGGAGGAGCATCAATTATATGGCTTTTTGAATATAATTCTTACGTCTGATACGTTTATTTAACACCAGTTTAATACTTTCCAAATGTCATGTTTACAATTTATATCTTTTCTCCCAACGGCTTAACAGATTTGCCTAAGATTCTAGTAAGATATGAATTAACAATATTAAGAGTAGTCCCTAGAATCAAAATGGGGTGGGTGGGCGGGGCTATTTCTTGTTTATAAGACTCTAGAAAAAGCCAAACTTAGCTCCACCCACCTCCTGTGTCCATTTCTCTGACTTATTTTATTTACTGTAATATAGGAATTGAATTCTGATTTGACAAGCGGCAGAATCGTAGGATTTAAACAAAAACCAAAAGTGGCCCCACACACCCACCCCTACTCCTTTTGGAAAACTCATTTTATTGGCTCTTGAAACCGAAGTTGGATTTTATACTCTTAAATAATAAACTCTTGGACCACTTTTTTATATAAAATTTTGACTTTTATTCGAAAAACGACTTTGGTCAGCTTACATAGAAATAATTAATAATTATGTGAAATAGACAAAATGAAAACAATCGGAAACGCCTCCCCTTTTCTACGAGTCAATGAAATGGCGGATTGAGGTGGAGCTTGTGCGAGAGGGAGGAGCTTCAATAATATTGCTTTTTAAATATAATTCTTAGGTCTGATACGTTTATTTAACACCAATTTAATACTTTCCGAGTGTTGTGTACAATTTATATCTTTTCTCCCCAACGGCTTAACAGATTTGCCTAAGAGATATGAATTAACAATATTACGAGTGGTCCCTAGAATCAAGGTAAGGTGGGTGGGCGGGGCTATTTCTTGCTTATAAGACTCTAGAAAAAGCAAAACTTAGCTCCACCCACCTCCTGTGTCCATTTCTGACTTATTTTATTTACTGTAAAGTAGGAATTGAATTTTGATTTGACAAGCGGCAGAATCGTAAGTTTTAAACCAAAAACCAAAAACGACTTTGGTCAGCATTTACATAGAAATAATTAGTAATTATGTGAAATAGCCAAATTGAAAAACAATAGGAAACGCCACCCCTTTTCTACGAGCCAATGAAATGGCGGATTGAGGTGGAGCTTGTGCGAGAGGGGGGAGAATAAATAATATTGCTTTTTAAATATATTTCTTACGCTGATACGCTTATTTAATACCAGTTTAATACTTTCCGAGTGTTGTGTTTACAATTTATATCATTTCTCCCCAACGGCTTAACAGATTTGCTTAAGATTCTAGTAAGATATGAATTAACAATATTAAGAGTAGTCCCTAGAATCAAGATGGGGTGGGTGGGCGGGGCGATTTCTTGCTTATAAGACTCTAGAAAAAGCAAAACTTAGCTCCACCCACCTCTTGTGTCCATTTTTCTGACTTATTTTATTTACTGTAAAATAGGAATTGAATTCTGATTTGACAAGCGGCAGAATCGTAAGATTTAAACCAAAAACTGAAAGTGGCCCCACCCGCCCACCCCGTTTGGAAAACTCATTTTATTGGCTCTTGAAACCGAAGTTGGATTTTATAGTGATAAATAATAAACTCTTGGACTAATTTTTTATATAAAATTTTGACTTTTGCATATTCTAAAAACGACTTTGGTCAGCGTTTAGATAGAAATAATTAATAATTATGTGAAATAACCAAAATGAAAAACAATAGGAAACGCCTCCCCTTTTCTACGAGCCAATGAAATGACGGATTGAGGTGGAGCTTGTGCGAGAGGGAGGAGCATCAATAATATTGCTTTTTAAATATAATTCTTACGTCTGATAGGTTTATTTAACACCAGTTTGATACTTTCCGAGTGTTGTGTTTACAATTTATATATTTTCTCCCAAACGGTTTAACAGATTTGCCTAAGATTCTAGTAAGATATGAATTAACAATATCAAGAGTAGTCCCTAGAATCAAGTTTGGGTGCTTATTCTTGCTTATAAGACTCTAGGAAAAGCAAAACTTAGCTCCACCCACCTCTTGTGTCCATTTTTCTGACTTATTTTATTTACTGTAAAATAGGAATTGAATTCTGATTTAACAAGTGGTAGAACTGTAAGATTTAAACTAAAAACCAAAAGTGGCCCCACCCACCCACCCCTACTCCGTTTGGAAAATTCATTTTATTGGCTCTTGAGATGGAAAATGGATTTTATATTGAGAAATAATAGACTCTAAGGGGCCAATTCCAAGTTGGTGGCGCAAGTCACTGGTGCAGCGCAACTTTATAATGCTAATTTGGGTATCAAATGCTGGTTGCTAGGGGTGACGGAATAAACAAACGCAATTTTTCGAGATAAATTGCGCCAACTTGCACTGCCTACTAGAGGTGCCGCAACTCGATGGTGCAAATTTCAATGGAAAATTCGACACAACTGCGTTTGTTGATTCCGTTACCCCTAGCAACCAGCATTTGATACCCAAATTAGCATTACAAAGTTGCGCTGCACCAGTGACTTGCGCCGCCAACTTGGAATTGGCCCCTAAGACTACATTTTTTTTAATAAAAATTTACCTTTTATTCGAAAAACGACTTTGCCGTCAGCGTTTACAAAGAAATGATTAAAAATTATGTGAAATAGTCAAAATGAAGCACAATCGGAATCGCTTCCCGTCTTCTACGGGCCAATGAAACGATTCATTGAGGTGGAGCTTGTGCGAGAGGGAGGAGTATCAATAGTATTGCTTTTTAAATATAATTCTTACTTCTGATACGTTTATTTAACACCAGTTTAGTACTTTCCGAGTGTTCTGTTTACAATTTATATCTTTTCTCCCCAACGGCTTAACAGATTTGCCTAAGATTCTAGTCAGATATGAATTAACAATATTAAGAGTAGTCCCTAGAATCGAGATTGGGTGGGTGGGTGGGGCTATTTCTTGTTTATAAGACTCTATGTGTCCATTTCTCTGACTTATTTTATTTACGGTAAAATAGGAATTGAATTCTGATTTGACAAGCGGTAGAATCGTAAAATTTAAAAAAAATCAAAAGTGGCCCCACCCACCCACCCATACTCCGTTTGGAAAACTCATTTTATTGGCTCCTGAGACGGAAGTTGGATTTTATACTGATAAATAATAAACTCTTGGACTACTTTTTTTATATAAAATTTTGACTTTTATTCCAAAAACGACTTTGGTCAGCGTTTACATACAAAAATTTAAAAATTATGTGAAATAGACAAAATGAAAAACAATAGGAAACGCCTCCCCTTTTCTACGAGCCAATGAAATGGCGGATTGAGGTGGAGCTTGTGCGAGAGGGAGGAGAATAAATAATATTGCTTTTTAAATATAATTCTTACGTCTGATACGTTTATTTAACACCAGTTTAATACTTTCCAAGTATCGTGTTTACAATTTATCTATTTTCTCCCCAACGGCTTAACAGATTTGCCTAAGATTCTAGTAAGATATGAATTAACATTATTAAGAGTAGTCCCGAGAATCAGGATGGGGTGGGTGGGCGGGGCTATTTCTTGCTTATAAGATTCGAGAAAAAGCAAAACTAGCTCCACCCACCTCTTGTGTCAATTTCTCTTGACTTATTTTATTTGCTGTAAAAGAGGAATTGAATTCTGATTTGACAACCAGTAGAATCTAAGATTTAAACAAATTCAAAACTGACTCATTTTTGACTTCCATGTGAGCTTCAAAAAAACCCAAGCAAGACAATTTTTTTTTGATATTTAGATATTTTATTTGCTAAGGACAAGAGCATTCCAGACGAAATATAAACAAGTGTGTTTTTTGGAAATAATGCATTCGAATCATAAACAGTGGCGGAGTGTTAAATGTGACAGGTCACTGAATATAGTGAGGAAGTAAACTACTCTGAGCCAACTTCTCGGAGTATTCCAGAATCGACATTTTGATTTGCAATGTCGACTCTGGAATATTCCGAGAAGTGGACTCAAATGAACTGTTTTTTTTTTAGTAATCTGATTGAACTATGACTATTGAGATACTGAATACCGTTTTAATAACGATGAAACTTTAACTAATTTTTCGTTGTTAGAAAAAGGTTAGAAAGGTAATGTCATCATCGTAACGAATCGTTAAGTAATGTTGATTTAAAATATGCCTGCATTACTCATGCTTTAGAAATATATTTTTTAAATTATATTTACAATTGTTGACACGGATGTCTCACCAAATTATTGCATGTATCGATTAATTTTATCGTTTGTTTCGAAACGACTTATCTATTTTCCCGAAAATTCTGGGACTTTGTGTTATTTCACCAAGTTTAAGCACCTCATGACAAAAACTGTGAATAAACCTGCCAAGAATTGGGTTAATTTTGTAGTTGAGTCAACTGCTCGAACTTTTTTTTATCAGACTGAGTCAAGGATTTTTTTTATTAACACACAGGGGAACATACTCTTCGGCCCGTATTTACGGTTTAAAACCTCCATTATTTAAATTTCGTACGGTCGTGAATTCGAAACTCTTATCAAATGGGAAAGCATTAATTATAACAACAGTAATAATAAAAATTGTAACATGGTGCATTAGAAATCTAGCATGATTGTGCCACGAAGCCAAATCTCCACTCGTTTTAAAAAAAGTGGCATCCCAATTCGAATTATTTTTACCAAGAGATCATTGTCGAAGTAAACATTTAAGGCTGTTGCTACGTTGAAATTAAGTAGAGTCAACCATAAACTAAAGAAATTTCTCATTTAAACCCGTAAGTACCCTCGTGTTCTGTTACCCCCTGTGAGCATTTCCCGTGGTTGCGGCATGCACTTCTCCTCCGTTAATTTTCTAGACCCCTTATTCAACCCCGTCTGTTCTAGGCCCTCAAACGTCGCGAGGACGACATCGACAGAATGAGCGGCTCGACACCTCCGGAGTCCGAGCGGAGCGCCAGCAGTCAAGGTAAGTATGCGTAGGCGAGTTTGCTCGACTCGGTCCGGCATAATCGGCTATTCGAGAGCATTGTTTACCTGTTCTGTTGTCGTTTCGCGTTTGTCACTACATTTTCGGCTGTGCACCGGTAGAATGTGTTTCGTCACAGTTTACATTTCGATAAAAGCGCCATGTTACGCACGCCTTATCTCCAGATAACGCGGGATAATGGTCCGTAATTTTTGCGCCATGACTTGTGCACGTTTGTCGCAATGAGCACGTTGCCGAAAATCCGGGTGAAATCCGGAGGAAGTAAGATTGATATAGTGTCGGGCTCGCTGCCCCGTGCTAAGGGTGTCACCTACCTAAGTCTGAACGGGCGCAGACCGGCGCCTGGAAGCAGCGCCAGGAGGTTCCTCAAATACTCAGGTTAGATGGAGTGAGTCGCTTTCGGGGGCTGGAGGACGCGTAAGATAGCGGGGTGGCTGTTGGGGGCGCAACAGGTGTGCGATGGCGAAGAGCGCGTTGAAGGTTGGAACGATGATCTAAGTGCATGGGAATTCGATTTTCGTTGAGAAGTGTGTGAGATGGTGGCAATATTTTTATTGATGTTGTCGGGTTGTGGGATTCGAGTTGTGCTATCATAGGACGTGCAAACAGAGAATTTATTTTTAGGTTTAGGGTAAACAGTGTTGTTATTCGTACCTACAGTATTCACCGGAAAAAATATGCATCTATGTGAAAAGGATTCGTTTTTAACCTTTCAGACCCACCTTAGTAAAATGATGGAACACGTCATTCGCGACTTTCTTCAAGCGAACGATAATTAAATTGGTTTGCACGTTTTACGTTGTTGATATTTAAATTGTGGTTAGAACTTGATTACGTTTTTATTTTGTTGTTGTTTACGAATTCCAGAAGTAATTTTATTTTGAGAAACTTTTAAAGTAAATAAATACATTACTTTCTAATTTATAAATTATGCAAAATCGTGTTTTCAGAATTTTCGGAAAATGCAATTTGTGGTTAGAACGTGATCACGATTTTAATTTTTCCGTTGTTGACGAACTCCAGAAGTAAGTTTCATGTTACTTGGACTTAACATCAAAGAAAATATTGCTACTTTCAATATTAAATTTAAAATATTTTTTTCAAAATTTTCGAAAAATGCAACTTGATCACAGTTAATTTTTCTCTTATTCACATATTCCAGAAGAAAATTTATTGTTATTTAGAGAAAATGTTAGAGTAACTATTTTGGTGTCTAGTATATTATTTAAAAAATATACGTGTTTGCAAAATTTGTGAAAAATGCAACTAGTGGTTAAAGTTTTATTCCGATGTTAATTTTTCTATTATTTACGAATTCGAGAAGTGAATTTTTGTTATTCTAAGAAGGCTTGAGAGCAAATATTTCACTTTCCGATATATAATCCAAAATAATATTTTCAAAATTATCGAAAAATTTGTAACGTGAATGGGATTTTCATGTTTCTCTTGTTTACGAAATCCAGAAATAAATTAAATGTTAGTTTAACCTAACATCAAAGAAAATATTACTACCTTCGATATATAATTCAAAATAATTTTTTCAAAATTTTCGAAAAATGAACTTGTGGTCAGAGCTTGATTATACTTAATTTTTCTGTTGTTTACGAAGTTCCGACGTAAATTTAATGTTACTTGGACGTAACATCAAAGAAAATATTGTAACTTTCAATATATAATTTAAAATATTTTTTTTTCAAAATTTGCCTGTTATTTACAAATTCCAGAAGAAAATTTATTGTTATTTAGAGAAAATGTTACGAGTAACTATTTTGGTGTCTAGTATATTGTTTAAAAAATATACGTGTTTCTAAAATTTGTGAAAATGCAACTAGTGGTTAAAATTTTATTCCGATTTTAAGTTTTCTATTATTCACGAATTAGGGAAGTGAATTTTTGTTATTCTAAGAAGACTTCAGAAGTGAATATTTCACTTTCCGATGTATAATCCAAAATAGTATTTTCAAAATTTTCGAAAAATTTGTAACGTGAATAGGATTTTGATGTTTCTGTTGTTTACGAAATCTAGAAATAAATTAAATGTTACTTTGACTTAACATCAAAGAAAATATTACTACCTTCGATATATAATTCAAAATAATTTTTTCAAAATTTTCGAAAAATGAACTTGTGATCAGAGCTTAATTATGCTTAATTTTTCTGTTGTTTACGAAGTTCAGAAGTAAATTTAATATTACTTGGACTTAACATCAAAGAAAATATTGTAATTTTCAATATATAATTTAAAATATTTGTTTGAAAATTTTCGAAAAGTACAACTTTTGGTCAGAAGTCGATCACACTTAATTTTCCTGTTATTTACAAATTCCAGAAGAAAATTTATTGTTATTTAGAGAAAATGTTAGAGTAATTATTTTGGTGTCTAGTATATTATTTAAAAAATATACGTGTTTCCAAAATTTGTGAAAATGCAACTGGTGGTTAAAATTTTATTACGATTTTAATTTTTCTATTATTTATGAATTCCGGAAGTAAAGTTTTGTTATTCTAAGAAAACTTGAGAGTAAATATTTCACTTTCCGATATATAATCCGAAATGATATTTTTAAAATTTTCGAAAATTTTGTAACGTGAATAGGATTTTGATGTTTCTGTTGTTTACGAAATCTAGAAATAAATTAAATGTTACTTTGACTTAACATCAAATAAAATATTACTACCTTCGATATATAATTCAAAATAATGTTTTCAAAATTTTCGAAAAATTAAGTTGTGGTCAGAGCTTAATTATACTTAATTTTTCTGTTGTCTACGAAGTCCAGAAGTAAATTTAATTTTACTTGGACTTAACATCAAAGAAAATATTGTAACTTTCAATATATAATTTAAAATATGTTTTTAAAAATTTTCGAAAAGTACAACTTGTGGTCAGAGCTCGATCACACTTAATTTTCCTGTTATTTACAAATTCTACAAGAAAATTTATTGTTATTTAGAGAAAATGTTAGAGTAACTATTTTGGTGTTTAGTATGTTATTTAAAAAATATACGTGTTTCCAAAATTTGTGAAAAATGCAACTAGTGGTTAAAATTTTATTCCGATTTTAGTTTTTCTATTATTCACGAATTCCAGAAGTGAATTTTTGTTATTCTAAGAAAACTTGAGAGTAAATATTTCACTTTCCGATATATAATCCGAAATGATATTTTAAAAATTTTCGAAAAATTTGTAACGTGAATAGGATGTTGGTGTTTCTGTTGTTTACGAAATCTAGAAATAAATTAAATGTTACTTTGACTTGACATCAAAGAAAATATTACTGCCTTCGATATATAATTCAAAATCATTTTTTCAAAATTTTCGAAAAATGAACTTGAGGTCAGAGCTTGATTATACTTCATTTTTCTGTTGTTTACGAAGTTCAGAAGTAAATTTAATGTTACTTGGACTTAACATCAAAGAAAATATTGTAACTTTCAATATATAATTTAAAATATGTTTTTCAAAATTTTCGAAAAGTACAAATTGTGGTCAGAGCTCGATCACACTTATTTTTCCTGTTATTTACAAATTCCAGAAGAAAATTTATTGTTATTTAGAGAAAATGTTAGAGTAACTATTTTGGTGTCTCGTATATTATTTTAAAAATATACGTGTTTTCAAAATTTGTGAAAAATGCAACTAGTGATTAAAATTTTATAACGATTTTATTTTTTGTATTATTCACGAATTCCAGAAGTGAATTTTTGTTATTCTAAGAAAACTTGAGAGTAAATATTTCACTTTCCGATATATAATCCGAAATGATATTTTAAAAATTTTCGAAAAATTTGTAACGTGAATAGGATGTTGGTGTTTCTGTTGTTTACGAAATCTAGAAATAAATTAAATGTTACTTTGACTTGACATCAAAGAAAATATTACTGCCTTCGATATATAATTCAAAATCATTTTTTCAAAATTTTCGAAAAATGAACTTGAGGTCAGAGCTTGATTATACTTCATTTTTCTGTTGTTTACGAAGTTCAGAAGTAAATTTAATGTTACTTGGACTTAACATCAAAGAAAATATTGTAACTTTCAATATATAATTTAAAATATGTTTTTCAAAATTTTCGAAAAGTACAAATTGTGGTCAGAGCTCGATCACACTTATTTTTCCTGTTATTTACAAATTCCAGAAGAAAATTTATTGTTATTTAGAGAAAATGTTAGAGTAATTATTTTGGTGTCTAGTATATTATTTAAAAAATATACGTGTTTCCAAAATTTGTGAAAATGCAACTGGTGGTTAAAATTTTATTACGATTTTAATTTTTCTATTATTCACGAATTCGGAAAGTGAATTTTTGTTATTGTAAGATGACTTGAGAGTAAATATTTCACTTTCCGATATATATTCCAAAATAATATTTTCAAAATTATCGAAAAATTTGTAACGTGAATAATAGCATTTTGATGTTTCTGTTGTTTACGAAATCCAGAAATTAATTAAATGTTACTTTAACTTAACATCAAAGAAAATATTACTACCTTCGATATATAATTCAAAATAACTTTTTCAAAATTTTCGAAAAATGAACTTGTGGTAAGAGCTTGATGATGGTTTATTTTTCTGTAATTTCCAGAAGTAAAATTAATGTTTTTTTGAGGAAATATTAGGGTGACGATATGGATTTCTAATACTTATGTAAAGAAGTCAAAATAGTATTTTCAAAAATTTTGCAAAAATTCAAACCGTGGTTAAAAGTTGATTAAGCTTCTTTTAATTTCACTGTTTACCTAATAGTCCAGAAGTAAATTTAATGTTATTTTTAGGTCACATTAAATCCCGCATTACTACTTTTCAATATATGTAATTAAAAAAAAAAAGAACTAAATTTTTTTTTTAAATGCTACTTGTTAAAATTTGATTACGATTTTAATGTTTCTCTTATTTACGGGTTAGAGAAGTAAATTTGTTCTGAGAGGACATTAATATATTCTTTTCTAATAATTCAAAATAATATTTTCAAAATTTTCAAAAGTGGTTAAAATGTGATCATGTTTTAATTTTTATGTTGTTCACGAAATGGATCAGTGATTTTAATCTTACTTTGACTGAACATGAAAAAAAATATTACTATTTCTATACTATATATATAATTGAAAAAAATGTTTGCAACATTTTTCAAAAAAGCAACTTGTGGTTAAATTTTGATTACGATTTTAATTTTTCTGTTATTTATGAATTCCCGAACTAAATTTAATGTTATTTTGACGTGGCATTAAATCAAATATTGCTACTTTCCAACATATATAATTTAAAAGAAAAATTAAAAAAAAAATTCGAAAACTGCTACTTGTTAAAATTTGATTACGATTTTAATTTTTCTGTTTTTTACGGGTTCCAGAAGTAATTTTATTGGTATTCTGAGAAGACATTAGAGTAAATAGTTTCGTTTCCAATATACAATTCCAAATAATATTTTCAAAATTTTTTTAATCGACTAAAATTCTCATAAGAGAAAAATTTTGGTTTTGAAAAAGTTTCCAAAAGAATCCATATATAGATTTTGTCGTGCTGATTCCTAAAATATAACGTGTTTATGCTCCCGGTGCAAGATTTAAAAATATTTGTTGTGAAAATATTTTTTTGAAATCCAAAAATCCGGAATTTTCATATTGAAAAATTTGGCTTTTGAAAAGGTTGCTAGAAAATTCCCAAAAAATTTTGTAACATAAATAATGTCGTGCTTATTCCAAAAACATAGTGTGTTTAAGTACCGATGTAAAATTTAAGAGTATTCTGTTTGAAAAAAAATATTTTTTTTTTAATCCAAAAATTGCAATAATTCAGTGGGCGATTCTGGAAAAATTGTGGGAGCTATCGAACAAGTGACTCCGAAACTAACTTCTGAAAGTCAAAATGTATAAGAACATTAATTATTGGGATAGTATTGAAAAATTTTGCTTTTGAAAAAGTTGCAAAAAAAAAAAACAAAAATTGAAGATTATTAAAAAATGATTTGCAAAATTTCAGTGGGATTTTCAGGAAAAATTATGGGATCTATCAATGAAATGAGCCCGAAACTAATTTCTGGAGGTCGAAATTTTCAAGAAAATGTAGTTAGTTCGAAAATTTGTCAAAATTCTTGCTTTTGAAAAAACTCTTAAAAAATTCTGGGATATAGATTTCGTCCTGGTGATTATTGAAATTGCGAATTATAGAAAAATTGAAATAGAAAAAGCCGAAATATCGAGATTTGAAACTTATAATGAGTAATTTTAGAATTTTTTGATGAACATAAAATATATTATAAAAATTTCAAAAAATGTATGTAGAGAAGTAAAATTCTACAGGGTGTTGATTAATCTACCGTTAACACAATCCAACCTTCTCGCGATCTCTCGCGCCCCCAGCCCCGGCCCACCCCCGCCCACACCCGCCCGCTCTGACCCAGTTGACTTTTCTTGCAGCAGGCGAGTCCGACGCAGCCGTCGAGCTCCGCGAAGAGAAGCACGAGATTCACATAGAGCGTAGCCACACGGGCCTCGGCCTGTCCATCGCGGGGGGCCGCGGCTCGACCCCCTTCAAAGGAGACGACGAGGGCATCTTCATATCGCGCGTGACCGAGAGCGGGCCGGCGGACCTCGCCGGCCTCCGCGTCGGCGACAAGGTGGTGAGCGTGAACGGCGTGTCGGTGGTCGACGTGAGCCACTACGACGCCGTCGAGGTCCTGAAGCAGTCGGGCCCCAGCCTCGTGCTCGAGGTGTCGCGCGAAGTCACCAAGTTCGTGGCGGCGCGGCCGAAGCCGCTCGAGCCGCCGCCGCCGCCGCCGCCCGAGGAAGCGCCGTCGAGGGCGCAGCTCCACACCACGCTGATCCGCGACTCGCGCGGCTTGGGCTTCAGCATCGCCGGCGGCAAGGGCTCGCAGCCCTTCAAGGCCGACTCGGACGCCGTCTACGTGTCGCGGATCACGGAGGGCGGCGTCGCGCACAAGGACGGCAAACTGTGCGTGGGGGACAGGGTTGTGTCGATCAACGGAGTGGATTTGACGGGGGCGACGCACGACCAGGCCGTCGGTATGCTGACGGGGCTGGAGAGGTTCGTCAGGCTGACGGTGGAGAGGGACGTGCCGGCGAGGAGCGGCGAGCCGGAGCCGTCGCCGGGGCCGCAGCAGTCGCCGAAGGTGTTCGGCCTGCCCAAACCGTATACAGGGCTGTACTCGGCGAATAGTTACATGGCGAACAGGCCGGGATACACGGGCTACAGGAGGTCGCTGGAGGCCGACAAGAAGGTAATTGTAGTTTGATCATTTTGGAAACGGTGGAAATGTATACATGTGCAGCGTATTTTTTTTCCTGGGTGCTTGATTTTTTTTAATATTTTATTCCGATGATTCATCATCCAATAATAAGTGAGTAAATAGGAAAAAAACAATGTACAACGTCGCAGTGTTGCTGCATTAATTGCATTCCTTTATTTCCTTGTCATGGAAGAGGTTAACCAGACAAAGAACTCTTTGAGAGAACATCACCGGAACGCTCACTGGTTAAATATGCCTGACTCACGACAGCGTGTTGGTCGTTAGTGCGTTTTTAGACAACGTACACTGTTGTGTTGAATTTTTTTGTGTGTGTAATTTTTAAAACATGCTGTATGTAGTCACGGCTATCAATAATTGCATTTTAAACTTACTGAGTGATTAGTTTGTCGTTATTTCAGAATTGCGTGAATCGTTTCGTTTACGGTTTGTATAATTTGTGTCTAAGGAGCAATCATGGGAGCAAAAAGTCTTAAAGTCATCGGAACATATTTTTTGTGTATGCACTTTGCGTTGCATTTTTCGGTTAATAGGTGACGTTTTTTTCTTATTTCGCATTTGCAACAAATGTTCAGGTGTACACCGTTGGCTGTCCTAAATATCAATGCTGTTATCTTGCGAACGCGTGGAATGAATCACGTTATTGTTATCGGTGAAATAACTAGATAAGAGTTTAATGATTTTGTGTTCAATACTTGGGGACAAGTTAGCGTACTTATTTACTTCTCGGTAAAAAATGGTAAACAATTTAAAAAAATTCGTAGAGTAAATGCCGTTTAAATTTTATGAAATAATGTACAGTGGGGGAAATTAAATTATTTCTTTACGTTAAAATCACGTTTTTGAGTATCGCGTTGTTCAAAGAATACTACATATATTATTTAAAAAAACGGCAAAATATATACCCCGCCCACCCACCCCATCTCGATTGTGAAGATTTTTTTATTCTCAGAAACTTAAAACATGTTTAAAATGGTCATTTCTTGTAGAAAAATAAGGATTTTGCAATTAAGCTCCGCCCCTCGGCTTACCACAAATAAAAAAAAAAAATCATCAGAATCGAAGTAGGGTGGGTGGGCGGGGCTTATATTTTGCCTTTCTCCTTCTTAATATACATAGCCATCTTTTCACAACAAGAAATTGCAAAATCGATATTTCCTTATGCAAATTTTCCATTTTAAATGTTTTAAGTTTCATGTTGTGAAAAGAAGTCTACACATATTAAAACGAAAAGACAAAATCTAAGCCCGCCCACCCGCCCTATCTCAATTGTGATGATTTTTTTTATTCGCCGCGAACCAAGAGGGCGGAGCTTAACTGGAAAATACTTATTTCTTTACGAGAAATTAAAATCACGTCTTTGAGTATCGTGTTGTTCCAAAGAATACTACATATATTATTAAAAAAAATGACAAAATATATACCCCGCCCACCCACCCATCTCAGTTGTGAAGATCTTTTTATTCCCAGAAAGTTAAAACATGTTTAAAATGGTCATTTCTCGTAGAAAAATAAAGATATTTTAATTAAGCTCCGCCCCTTGGCTTACGACAAATAAAAAAAAGTTCATCAGAATCGAGGTAGGGTGGGTGGGCGGGGTTTATATTTTGACTTTTTTTTCTTAATATATATAGCCATCTTTTCATAACAAGAAATTGCAAAATCGATATTTCCTTATACAAAATTTCCATTTTAAACATATTTTAAGTTTGTTGTGAAAAGTAGTCTATACATATTAAAACAAAAAGCAAAATGTAAGCCCGCCCACCCACCCTGTCTCAATTGTGATGATTTTTTTTATTCGCCGTGAACCAAGGGGGCGGAGCTTAATTGCAAAATACTTATTTTTTTTTCAAGAAATTAGAATCAATCTTTGAGTATCGTGTTGCCCACAGAATACTAAGTACATTAAGAAAAAAAAAAGGCAAAATATATACCCACCCCATTCCGATTGTGAACATTTTCTTATTCTTAGAAACCTAAAACATGTTTAAAATGGTAATTTCTCGTAGAAAAATGAGAATTTTACAATTGAGCTCCGCCCCTCGGCTTACGACGAATAAAAAGAATTCATGAGAATCGAGATAGGGTGGGTGGGCGGGGCTAATATTTTGCCTTTCTCTTTCGTAATATACATAGCCATCTTTTCACAACAAGAAATTGCTGAATCGATGTTTCCTCATACAAATTTTCCATTTTAAATGTTTTAAGTTTCATGTTGTGAAAGGAAGTCTACACATATTAAAACGAAAAGACAAAATGTAAGCCCGCCCACCCGCCCTATCTCAATTGTGATGATTTTTTTTATTCGCCGTGAACCAAGGGGCGGAGCTTAACTGCAAAATACTTATTTCTTTACGAGAAATTACAATCACGTTTTTGAGTTTCATGTTGTTCAAAGAATGCTGTGTACATTAAGAAAAAAAGGCATATATTTCTGTGGTTTATGAATCCGATTTAATCTTTTACCAATTTTTTCGAAATTTTCGGAATACAGTAAACTACTTAAGTCCTGACATCTTCATTTTATTAATTTATTTGAGCGGTCATCAAAAAACAAAAGCAGAGTCAAATTTTATGATTTATTCATTATTTAAATTTCCCAAAATAGCACACATTTCCATACTTGTTTTATTTCCTTTTTTGTGACGTTTTGTTGCATTTATTTGCCTTTTTTTGTCGTCTTCTTTGTCATTTTTTGTAGTGGTCTTCTTTGGAAGCTTATTTTCTTGGATTTTTTTGACATGTTTGTGCCGCTTTTGTTCACTTCTTTCCTTTAACACGTATTTTTTTGTCGCGTGTTTGACCCCCTTTTAACCACTTTTTGTCGTGGTTTTCGCAATTTTTAATCGTTTGTCTCGTTTTTTTTGTTTGTATATATATTTTTTGTAGTCCTCTCTTTTTTTTTAATCATTTGTCTCGTTTTTTTTTTGTTTGTATATATATTTTTTGTAGTCCTCTCTTTTTTTTTTCTGGGGTTGCTTCGTTTTTTCAGCCCAATTTTTGTCGTATTTTTTTGAAGTGACTGTCTTTCGCATTATTGTGGACTTGTTTTCTCTCGTTTCCCCTCATATTTGTTTCTTTGACGCTTGTGTTTGTAGACTTTTTGTCTTTTTTTCAGTGCCTTATTTTTTAATTTTTTGTAACTGTTTCATCGCTTTTTTCAGTTTTTTTTTATAATTTTTGCAGTCGTCTTTTTTGTCATTTTTTGGTATTTTTTGCACTTTTATTGTACATATGTATTTTTTAGCCACTTTTTTCTAGTCACCTTTTTTCCGCAATTGTTGTGGAATTGTTTTCTGTAAGTTTTTTATCCTGCTTCGACGCTTTTTTTTCTGTAACTTTTGTCTTTTGTGTATTTTTTCCGGCCGTTTTGTTTTTTTGCTTTTTAATGTTTTTTTTACAGTCGCCATTTTTTGCGTTTACTGGATTTTTTCGTCTTTTTTTGACGTCTTGTCTTGTAAATCATCTTTTTGTGGTCCCCTTCACGGTTTGTGACCTGTTTTTGTATCCCATTTTTCATTTTTTTTTGTCAACTTTTTGTTATTTTTTTCATTCTTTTGTTGGTATTTTTTAACCTTTTAATCGCTCTTTTTGTCATTTTTAATGTAGCCTTTTATTCTTATCGAGAATCTTATTTCCCTGGTCATTTTTTGGTTCCTATTTTAATCGCTTTTTTTTTACTAAAAATAATCAAAAATGTCATTGGCCAAAATCGGTTTTATTTTAGCATATACTAGCCCCGCCCACCCGCCCTCTCTTTTCTTCGAGGGTATCTTATTTACCAAAATCAGTCTTCTCTTAGCAAGTGCAAGGCCCGCCCACCCACCCTCTCTTTTCTTCGAGAGGATCTCATTTGCCAAAATCAGTCTTCTCTTAGCAAGAACTAGCTCCGCCCACCCACCCTCTCTTTTCTTCGCGGGTATCTCATTTACCAAAAAAATCAGTCTTCTCTTAGCAAGTGCAAGTCCCACCCACCCACCCTCTCTTTTCTTCGAGGGTATCTCATTTGCCAAAATCAGTCTTCTCTTAACAAGTATTAGCCCCGCCCACCCGCCCTTTTTTTCATAGAGGGTATCCCATTTGCTAAAATCGGTCTTTTTTTTATCGTTTATTGAAATTTTTTTGGTATTTTTTACACTTTTACTGTATTTTTTTGCCACTTTTTTCTAATCACCTTTTTTTTCGCAATAGTTGTGTAATTGTTTTTTGTAATTTTTTTTGTCAATCTTTGACGCCTTTTTTTGTGTGCCTTTTGTCCTTTTTGCATTTTTTGTGGCCATTCTATCCTTTTTAGGTTTCTTCCCATTTTTTTTTTGTAGTCTCCTCTTCGAAATTTGACCTTTTTTGCATCCCATTTTTCATTTTTTCTGAGACCTTTTTTGTGAAGTTTTTGTCCTTTTTTTAATTGTCTTTTGTCGGATTTTTAACCTTTTTAATCGCTCTTTTTTGTTATTTTTTGGTCTGATTTTTTGGACCTTTTTTGATTCTTTTTTTAATCGCCTTTTTTTACTAAATAAATATATAATAAAGAAAAATTAGTTGGCCTTTTCTTCACACTTGTTGTGGAATTGTTTTGTAGCGTTTTTTGCCCGGCATTTTGTCTTTTTATCCTTTTTCTCGGTTTTGTAGATTTTTTGGTCACTTTTTGTGGTGGTCACCTTCTTTGTAAAATTTTTTATCCTGTGTTTTTGTACCTTGTTCGCTTTTTTTACCTTTTTTATCACATTTTTTTATTCCTTTTTCTTAGTCGCATTTTTATAAAAAAACCTACTCTAATTTTGCTTTTCTATTGTCTTTTTTTATTATTGCGTATTTTGTAATCTTTTTGTCGCTTTTTTGTCACTTTGTAGTCGCGTTTTATGTGGAGTTTTTGTCGTTTTTATGGACCTCTTTTATATTTTTCTTTGTCACTTTTCTGACTCACTTTTTATTCGCATTTTGGGGGCCGTTCTTTTGACCCCTTTTTGTGTAGTTACCCTTTTTTAACGTGGAATTGTTTTGTCGGCTTTTTCGTATTTTTGGTCGCCCTTTTTTTGTAATTTTTCTTGTTGCTAAAAAGTTGACAAAACTCACTAGAAACACCCAGTAGCATACTTTTTATCTATTGTTTAATAAATTTAATTTAATTATAATTTATGTAAGAAATTGGATGTTTTATTGTACTTCAGGGTAAAAATTTAGTGTCCCCGTATTGAGTTTCGAACAGTGAATTTTTTGTATTTATTTTTTTTTTTACAAAAAAAGTCGAATAAAACTTTCCTGTAACTTAAAACATGCATTTCACGTTCAAAATAAGCGATACGTTCCGTTAATTACAGTTCTCTGTAAATTATAGGAAATAATATGCTTCTATACGTGTGGTTTATTAATCCGCCTTTATTTTTTTACCTTCGAATTTTAGAGAAAAAAAACCGTTGTACAATTGACCTTAAAATAGTTGACGTCATCTTACAATACACTTGTGGGTTCACACAATGCACCGACCCATATTTTATAAAGTTGATTATACAGGATGTCTCAAAGAAGTTAATGCATGGAAGAAATCCGAGGAGCTAATTTTATATGACCCGAGACATCCTGTACGTGGTTTCCGGAGTTTCATTGTGCCCAGATTTGTGCAATTTCTTACAAAATCCGGAACTTTTAACATACTACCGATTTTACATAAGTACTTTCTTAAAAATCTAACTGAAACCGTGTCGGCGTCAAGATCCTCAGACTTGACCGACTCGGAATGCACTTTTTTGCGGTCGTGTGACATATTTTTCCTTAAAAATTTAATTAAACAGTTAACGTGAATTGCTTTTGCGTTTATGTAAATGTAGTAATAACCGCATTACCATATTTTTAATGGTAAACATCATTACATAGATTATGTGCAATTAGATGTCTTAGCTATGACAAATTTATCAACTGACGTACGAACATGAATTAGTGGCAAATTGCTATGTTAAGTGATGTCCGTATAATTGGTGCTTGCAATATGAATTATTAATATTTACCATCTCTTTGGTGAGAGACTCCCAGGAAATTGTTTTCCGTTGTGGCATAATTTATTGAAGTGTGTCTGTTACATTTTTTTCCTAATGTGAAAGTGCGTCAACTTGAAATGATTTTTTTAGTCGTTGTATTACTTGCGATAAATGCTCAACTGTGCATCACTGACTATCCTATTAAAAAAATAATATAACGAAAAACTAGTTTCACCTCAACTGATGAGAGAAACGCAAATTGGCGGTCTGACCTTTCGACCAAGACAAGCAATTCCCACAGAATTGCTGCTAGAGAAAGATAAGAAAACTGTAACGGTCCAGAGCAAATATTTCCGTATTCTAATCACGACGTTTAAATAAATTACAATTGCAAATGTTGTGCATGCTACAGTCCTGTTCTTACATGAGGTGTGCTTGTTGAATTCAAGGTCATTTCGGTTTACAAAAATTCATTCACAGCCTACTTAAATAAACAAGTAGCACCTTGACACTATTGCGTTTGTTTATATATATGTTTAGAAACGGTTCGATTTAGAAAAAAATATATTTGCGATGTACCAAAACACAAAGTTCAAGTCCGGTGATGTCACCAGAAACAAGAACTGGTTTGAGCAATATGTTTGTAGTGTGACGTAATTTGCGAGGGATGACGTAGGGCGGGAGAACTTGTTTATGTTTTAAAATGCAAAAATTCGATTGCTTGACACATTTTACGGTCGTGGTCTACACTGAGATTATGTAAATGAGAATCCAAACACGGTTTCATAAAAAAAATGTTATTGTGCGTAGAAACACACTTAAGTCAATATTTTTAGTGTGATTGCGTGTTGTTCAAACATTACTTAACACTACTAATTCCAATTACGCACTTTCAAGCACCCAGGCCGTGGTATAATAAAGAGGGAAATTTTCTCATTGGTCGTTTTACTTTTTCAGACGTACACTGAGTCGCCTTCCGAGTCGCCCCGAGAGTTGCCGAAGACAAACGGCATCGTCTCCCCGAAAACGAGCGAAGTGCCAAAACCGGCGCCTCGGCGCATATCGAACTCGACGCCCCCCAACGAGACGGGTCCCGTTCCAGGCCAGTCGCCGCCGCCCCCTAAAACTGCCGCCCCCAATCACAATAAAGCGACGCCGACGACGTCTCTCGACGGAGACGACGCACAGGTACTGCCGAAGCCAATCACGAACGAGGATTTCCAAGCCATGATCCCAGCCCATTTCCTCAAAGCTTCCAAAACAAATCAATCACAAAACAATCCCGACTCAGTAAATGCCGTTACCGTTACGATTAAGAAGCCAGATCCGATCGAATTGCCGCCCGCCCCCACGGGGCCAGGCCGTGTCACTGAGACCATCACCAAGAGTACCTTCACAGAGACTGTGGTTACTCGCATCACCGATAATCAGCTGATTGTGCCCGTTATTATCGAGGTATGCTCTGGCCGATGATAGTGAGATGCTCAGCTATTTGCACATAAAGATACTGTCAAGGTTGAGGTCTGCTTGATATCACTAGTTTTTCCTCTCTATAATTTTTTTTAGTTTTTTCCTAACTTGTTTAGTTCTTGTATGACTAATTGCACTGAGACTCTATCCCGGCGCGTGTACAGTTCGTTTTTTCAGTTTACACACAGGTGACGAGACGAGTTAAGCAGTATACCACAAACGCTGCACAATACTTTACCTTACTTATTTTGTTTGAATTTAAAGCGGTTAATCTAGTAATCTTGGTGCGTTGGCGTGACTTTACTGAATTTTAACCTGAAATGTTGAACTTTCGAGTCGCGTTCGTTCGTGGGATTCTGGTCACGTGTGTGTGAATATAAAAGTACAACTGGAATAGAAGAGGCGATAAGGTGAAAGGATAGAGATGATTTTGCGATTCTGGATAGTCTTCAAGCTCGTACACTTGCATAGTTAGCACCACTAAGATTCCATATATCACACAGATGATACTTTCATTTTATGAAAATAAAAATAAAAGTCGTTTTTTGTTATAAACCCACCTCCTGTACCAATCGAAACTAAGTAGTTGGTGTGTTCAAAGTATGTCTGTTTTGATAAGAAAAAGATCCACCAACACTGCACTTTTTCCTAAAAATATTTGTGATTCACTTCGAAGTATTTATGACGTAATTTAAATAAAATGTATAAAATTGTTATAATTTATTTTCTATAAGCACTCTGTATATTAAAATCTATTGCGATTTTTTGTGAACCCTGTGATTATAAATCCTAAGAAGAGTTCAATCAGAATATGTATGTTTATGTAACTAAGTTGTGTGTTACGCCTTAAAAACAGAACACTCTGTATAGTTGAAAATAATTTTACTACATGATCTTCAAAGAACTGTATAACTTTGGTTTTGGACTTTTTTCTATTTCTAATAATCACGGAGTTATTGAAGTGACTCACCCTGTATATACTTTTTTTCGCCCCATATATACAGTGTGTTTGACAGTTACACATTTACCACCGAATTCCTTGACACAATCTAACAAACGTCTAAATAAGAGTGTTCGAAAATGTTCTAAAATACAGGATGTCCCATTAAAAAAAAACAACAATTTGCAAATTTAATCACCATGTAGAAATACGTTAAAACACTTTTTTGTCGAGGCAAGATGACTAGAAACTGTTGTACAAATTTTCAGACCTCCATCTTTAAATATGGCGGAGTTGAGAATTTTAAATAAAAAAACTGAAAACCGTCAACCGAAAAACCTTTGCGTTTGTTTGTTTACTAAAGAATCTAAATCTGTAAAAATATACAGGATGTCGCGTTAAAAAAATATAAAATACACTATACAATTCTGAAACGGGACAGCTTGTATATTTGACGTTCTATGTCTTCCCATATCCGTCGAAATCCTTCTAAATTCATATATATCTCAGATCAAAAATAAACAGCCAATCAGATTTACGAATTTAACTCGTTACTATAGGAAATTTGCAATTTAACGCACTTTAAATTTAACAAGTTTTATCGAATTGCACCTTATATCATTCTCCTTCTATATATGTCCTTAACTTTTCTATATTTTTCTGTATCCGTTTATATCATCCTATATCCTTCTATATCAGTCCGGAAAGACGTCTAATTTAACGGAAATTTTCTTAGGATCACGAATCTCCGCTTCTATATCCGTCTATTTATTTCCATATCCGTCTATATCCTTCTAAATCCGTCTCTACCCTTCGACGTCAGTCTATACCCTTCTGTACCCTGTATATTCGTTTGTGCCCTTCCATATTCGTCTATGCCCTGCTATATCCATCTATATATTTCTTCATTCGTCTATACACTTATATTTCGACTTGTATCGACTTCATTTATATCTTTCTACATCCTTCTATATCCATCCATCTTTCTGTATTGGTCCGAGGAGACGTCTATTTTATCGGAAATTTTCTTAGGATCACGAATCTTTGCTTGTATAATATCCGTCTATTTGCTTCTATTTCGATCTCTATCCTTCCAAATCCTTCTATATCGACGGATATAGAAAGATTTGGAGAATGCAAACCGAAATAGAAGGGTATGGACGCGTATCCTTCTATTTCGGTTTGTATTCTCCAATATTTTTCTGTATCCGTCTATATCGTCCGATATCCTTCAATATCTTTCTACATCCGTCTATACCCATCTATATACTTCTATATTAGTCCGAGGAGACGTCTATTTCATCGAAAATTTTCTTAGTATCACGAATCTCTACTTCTATATCCTTCTGTATTCCTTTGTATCCTTCCATATCCATCTGTAGCCGTCGATATCCTTCTGCATCCTTCTATTTCAGTTTATATTCACCAATATTCTTCTGTATCCGTCTATATCCCCTGATATCCGTCTACATCTTTCAATATTTTCCAATATTTTTCTGTATCGGTCTATATCTTCCGATATCCGTCTATATCTTTCTATATCCGTTTACATCCGTCTATCTCCGTCTACATCCTTCTATATCCATCTATACTAGTCCGAAAAGACGTTCGTTTTATCGGAAATTTCCAAGGACCACGAATCTCTGCTTCTATATTATATTCGTTTATATCCTTCCATATCCATCTATATGCTTCTATATTTTTCTACAGCCATCCAAAGCCATCTATATTTGTATATTTTGGTCTACATGCTTCTGTGTAGATCTGTATCCTTCCCAATCCTTCTATATCCGTCCATGTCCTTCGATATTCTACTATATTTATCTACATCTGTCTATACACGTCTATACTTTTCGATATCTTTCTATTTCCATTTATATTTTCCAATGTTCTTCTGTACATGTCTAGATCCTCCGATATCCGTCTATATCTTTCTATATCCGTCTACAATCTACATCCTTCTATATTCATCTACATTCTTCTATATCAGTCAGAAAAGACGTCTATTTTATCGGAAATTTTCTTAGGATGATGAATCTCTGCTTCTATATCTTTCTATATTCGTCTATATTATCCTTCTATTTCGATCTGCATCCTTCCAAATCCTTCTATATCCGCCTATATCTTTGTATTTCCGTTTGTATTCTCCAATATTTTTCTGTATCCGACTATATCATCCGATATCCGTTAATATCTTTCTACATCCTTCTATATCCATCTGTGCCCTTCTATATTATTCCGAGGAGACATCTATTTCATCGGAAATTTCCTTAGGATCACGAACCTCTGCTTCTATATCCTACTATATGCGTCTATACCCTTCCATATCCATCTGTAGCCGTCCATATCCTTCTATTTCAGTTTATATTCACCAATACTCTTTTGTATCCGTCTATATCCCCCGATATCCGTCTATATCTTTCAATATTTTCCAATATTCTTCTGTATCGGTCTATATCCTCCGATATCCGTCTATATCTTTCTATATCCGTCTACATCCTTCTATATCCATCTATACCTGTCCAAAGAGACGTCTGTTTTATCGGAAATTTTCAAAGGACCACGAATCTCTGCTTCTATATCCTTCTATATTCGTTTATATCCTTTCATATCCATCTATATGCTTCTGTTTCGATCTGTATCCTTCCAAATCCTTCTATATCCGTCCATGTCTTTCGATATCCTACTATTTTCATCTGCATTTGTCTATATACTTTTCTATATCTTACTATTTCGATTTATATTCTCCAATGTCCTTCTGTACACGTCTAGATCCTCCGATATCCGTCTATATCTTTCTGTATCCGCCTACATCCTTCTATATTCATCTATATTCTTCTATATCCGCCTACATCCTTCTATATTCATCTATATTCTTCTATATCCGCCTACATCCTTCTATATTCATCTATATTCTTCTATATTAGTCAGAAAAGACGTCTATTTTATCGGAAATTTTCTAAGGATCATGAATCTCTGCTTCTATATCTTTCTATATTCGTCTACATTATGTTTCTATTTCGATCTGTATCCTTCCAAATCCTTCTATATCCGTCTATATCTTTGTATTTCCGTTTGTATTCTCCAATATTTTTCTGTATCCGACTATATCGTCCGATATCCGTTAATATCTTTCTACATCCTTCTATATCCATCTATGTCCTTCTATATTGTTCCGAGGAGACATCTATTTCATCGGAAATTTCCTTAGAATCACGAATCTCTGTTTCTATATCCTTCTATATTCGTCTATACCCTCCCATATCCATCGGTAGCCGTCCATATTCTTCTATTTCAGTTTATATTCACCAATATTCTTCTGTATTCGTCTATATTCCCCGATATCCGTCTATATGTTTCTATATCCGTCTACATCCTTCTATATCCATCTATACCAGTCCAAAGAGACGTCTGTTTTATAGGAAATTTTCTAAGGACCACGAATTTCTGCTTCTATATCCTTCTATATTCGTTTATATCCTTCCATATCAATCTATATGCTTCTATATCTTTCCACAGCCATCCAAAGCCATCTATATTTGTATATTTTGGCCTATATGCTTCTGTCTCGATTTGTATCCTTTCAAATCCTTCTATATCCGTCCATGTCCTTCGATATCCTACCATTTTCATCTACATCTGTCTATACACGTCTATACTTTTCTATATCTTTCTATTCCGTACACTTCTAGATCCTCCGATACCCGCCTATATCTTTCTATATCCGTCTACATCCTTCTATATTAATCTACATTCTTCTATATCAGTCAGAAAAGACGTCTATTTTGTCGGAAATTTTCTTAGAATCACGAATTTCTGCTTCTATATCTTTCTATATTCGTCTGTATCTTTCCATATCCATCTATATGTTTCTATATCTTTCCATAGTCATCTAAAGCCATGTGGATTCTTATATTTTGGTCTATATGCTTCTATTTCGATCTGTATCCTTCCAAATCCTTTTATATCCTTCTATTTCCGTTTGTATTCTCGAATATTTTTAGATATCCGTTAATATCTTTCTACATCCTTCTACATATATCCA